ATTTTCTAAATTTTAACATTTATAAAATTAAATTCTAAATTTCTGTAGGAGAAGAAAAGCTTCTGTAAAATAATTAAATGTGATAATCCAAAAAATATTAAATTAAATACCATTGACTTTATTTTCTTGTCCACAACTTTATTTTAAATTGTGAAGGGCCTCTAAAATATTAGTTGCCCCGGGCCTCGCATTTTCTCTGAAAGGCCTTGGGTGCACGAATATATATATTTGATCCAATTTTCTATGAAACGTGACTTCTAAATAATTGTGTCATTGCTATGGGTAGCTGCATACAGTTTTGAAGTGCATCTATTTTTGTCAAGCACTCCTGTTACTTCAATTAAAGTAGAGAAGACCGAATGAAAACCATTGGCTGCCTGCAAACAACATAAAAAAATATATTACTGTAAATTTTTTACTATTAAGTTATGATAACATTTGGTTTTGTGGTATTTTTAAATATAAAAACAAAAGGCTAGATTTGCCTAGACCAGTGTTTCTCAACGGGGTCGATATCGCCCCCATGTGGGCGTTTTTCCATGCTGAGGGGGCGATTTGTAACAATTTATATTTTGGGGGTGAAAAGCAATTTTCTTGGCGATATAGTAAAACATTATATTTACAATAATTAGATATTTTATCCGTTATAACGTACAATAATTAAACAAATAACATTATACTAGTCACTAGTCTATTCAATGCAGTACGAATTTAGCGTTAGCCTTGGCCCTGGGCATCGGCATTTTGAAGTGAAGGGGGCGATACTACGCTGAAGGAGTCGACGATTCGTTAGAGGTTGAAAAACACTGGCCTAGACAAATGAGATCTTACCCGAATCAAGAAGTTCTTTTTCACGAAGAAAAATCCTCCAATGGATATTCCAATGGGTAATCCTCCAAATATCTTCATGAAGCAAACGATCTAACATCAAAAATTTTAATTAAAATATCGATAAGAATAAAAATTGTATGATATTAAAAGAGAAATATATTATACCTTTAACTTGTATGTTAAGGTCAAAGGAGCAGAGAAATATTTTTCGACAGAGATGAAATTGTCGTATATCTGGAACANTTTAATTAAAATATCGATAAGAATAAAAATTGTATGATATTAAAAGAGAAATATATTATACCTTTAACTTGTATGTTAAGGTCAAAGGAGCAGAGAAATATTTTTCGACAGAGATGAAATTGTCGTATATCTGGAACAATATTATTACATTTTCATAAATGAAAAAAAAATCACGAGATAATTTACGTTAATTTTTACTTACGATCGATGTTAAAGTTGACAATCCCCAACAGACTAATAGGCTTAAACTTAATAATTGTAACGCAATTATAGCCATAAATAGGCGAACGATAAGGTTCGTCTTAGCAAAAAGAACTCCGTACCAAATAAAGCAGGTTTCGTATACAAAATGTATGTAAATGAGAGGCAAAAGAAGCTCCCATTTTTCGTTTACTTGTTGAAAAATTTCCCATAGTTCCATAAATTTTTCAATTAGATTTTGGAGATAATATTTTGTCGCATTATTTACTATTTGTAATTCTGAGGAGATTTTAGATAATCTTTTCGATACGACTAATGCAGTGAGAGTGCTTATAGTAAACATAGAGGCAATATGAATAAATGTTACCATAAACCAAATTTCGATAGTTACCAAACATGTAATGGCTCTAATTTTGTATTTATTTCCAATATTAACGTATGGATAACCAATCAATGGTATTAAAACGGCAAAGAAAGCGAGTATAACGACTGTGTACGAAAATAAAATCAGTACATATGGTTGAGCTTTATCAAGGCATTTTTCTTCACCTTCATACCTACTTTTGAGTATGGAATTATGGACGTTAAACTTTTTTCTTTTCACAATACTGAATTGCAAGGCAACGTACAAAGAAGAAGTTAACGGCAAGAGTTTAGAGTAAAAAGCATGCTCTTCGAACACATTAAATATTCTAGCGCATGGGATATCGACCACGAAAATGGTGGAAATAAATATTACAACGACCCATGCATATATTTCAATTATTCTTTCGTATGTGGAGAAAAGAGGGGCAGATATTTTACTCTTTCTGCATTTGCAAGGTTCTATAAGGTTCAATCCGAAAATTTCACATACAGAAAGAAAAAAATCTAATTGTTTAACGAGACAAATGTTATCAAGATAAGATTCCATACAAATTTCCATAGTAGTATGTTACAAATACTCGAAAAATATTTCAAATAATACAAAGAATACTTTAGCAACGATTGGAAAATAATTCAATATAATTTTTATTTTAAAAACTCACCTCGCTCTACAAATTCCGAAATGTAATAAAAGTCAAAAGCCATTAGATCTAAAGAGATATGTAAAAAGTGTCTTCAAATATTATCTTGTACATTTAATCCTATTTAATTGAACCTCTAAACAGAAAAAAGTTATTTTTTAACGAGGTAACATTTTTACTGCCTAACGTTAATGTAATGCTTCGTGTTTATAGATTTACGTGAAGTGTGTTCTTCTCTTCGATCAATTCTTTATACTGTTTAGTTATTTTCGAACGCATAACGATAATGAAATTCTTGATAATGAAGTCGTTCATTGATTGACAAGCCAATATTTAATTTATCAATCGATACGCTAGAAATTTTAATGCAGTATTCAGTTTTCTCGAATATATTCCAAACAATGTACAGTAATACCTCGGTTTTCGACTTCGGTTATTGTCGGTTTCAGTTTTCGTCGATTTTTTTCGCAAAAAATTTGCCTCGGTTTTCATCGGTTGCCTCGGATTTCGTTGGTGTGCCCAGAGCCGTAACTAGGATTTTGGACGCCTATGGCCAAAAATAAAAATGTCGCTTTTTTAATTTTTATTATTAAAAAAATAATAATTTTATTCTAAGAAAATGCTATTATAAAAAATTATCTAATGACATTTAAATACTATATAAATACAAATATAAAAACTTTTTGTGTTATTAATTTCGAATACATATTATTCCGAAACCTTCTCGTAGGCGCCTTTATTAAATTGGCGCCTATGGAGGGAGTCACATTGGCCATACCTACAGTGACCATATTTTTTTGGGGAAAATAAAGGACATATTGAAGAAAATCAAAAAATACCTTATAAAATTCATAAGTTTATAACATTTATTACGAAAATAGTAGCATACAACAATGCATACATTAAAATTTTAAACAATCTGAATTATTACACATACACACATTGTAAAAATTTAAATAACATTAATTTTGATACTTTTCAGTAGAATTAATTTTTTT